GATGACAGCAGAAGTTATTTCAAAAATAAAAAAATTAAAATGAACTGTTTCAAATTATTACGCTCAACAGAGTTCCAAAACATTTTATAGGTTGTAAAGAACTGAAAATGGTCAGTTGTTGAATTTGCAGCAGTAGGAGGTCATATTTACTGAAATCAAAAGCTGTGTCTGTCAAAAACATCTCAACAGGTCAAGTTACATTTTAACATAGAACCCCTTATTTGATAGCAGCTTCACAATTCTTACATCCATTGAACTTGTGAATTTTTGGAGAGTCTCTGCTTGAATTTCTTGGCAGGATGTCAGAGGAGCCTCCCAGAGCTGCTGTTTGGATGTAAACAGCCTCCCACCCTCATAGATCTTTTTCTTGAGGATGCTCCAAAGCGTCTCAGTAGGGTTGAGGTCAGGGGAGGGTGGGGGCCACACCATGCGTTCATCTCCTTTTATTCCCATAGCAGCCAATGATGCAGAGGCATCCCTGCAGCATGAGATGGTGCATTGTCATGCACGAAGATGATTTTGTAACAAAATGCACGGTTCTTCTTTTTGTACCATGGAAGGAAGTGGACAGTCAGAAACTCCACATACTTTCCAGAGATCATTTTCACACCTTCAGGGACCCTAGAGGGGTCGACCAGCTCTCTCCCCATGATTCAGGCCTAAACAGGACTCCGCCACCTCCTTGCTGATGTTGCAGCCTTGTTGGGACATGGTGGCCATCCACTAATCATCCACTACTCCATCCATCTGGACCATCCAGGGTTGCACGGCACTCATCAGTAAACAAGACTGTTTGAAAATGTATTTCTGGGCCCATTGCAGCCGTTTCTGCTTGTGAGCATTGGTTAGGGGTGGCCCAGTAGAAGGTTTATGCATCACTGCATGCCTCTGGAGGATCCTACACCTTGATGTTCGTGGGACTCCAGAGGCAGCAGCAGCTTCAAATACCTGTTTGCTGTTTTCTAATGACATTTTAACAGCTGCTCTCTTAATCCGATATATTTGTCTGGCAGAAACCTTCCTCATTGTACGTTTATCTGCACGAACCCGTGTGTGCTCTGAATCAGCCACCAATCTCTTAACAGCACAATGATCACACTTAAGTTTTCGTGAAATATCTGAGGTTTTCCTACCTTGTCCAAGGGATTCAACTGTTTCACGCTTTTCGGCAGCAGAGAGGTCCTTTTTCTTTCCCATATTGCTTGAAAATGGTGGTCTGCTTAATAATGTGGAACGTCCTTCTTTAGTTTTTCCTTTAATTGGGCTCACCTGGCAAACTAATTATCACAGGAGTCTGAAATTGACGTCAGTGATCCAAAGAGCCCTGAGACACAATACCGTCCATGGGTTTAACCGAAAAACAAAAAATGTAATCTTTATGACACTTACATACAACTTAAATTCATTGTAATTTCACAAATATTTCTTTGTTATTTAATGGATGAACCCGTTAAATTCTAGTTTAATAATGTAAATAAACTTCTAAAATTGGATACAATTAGTTACAAGTAACAGAAAAATATTATTTTTGAATTGACATAGATTCATCTGAGAGAGAGTTTGTATAATTAGAAAAGTTTTCTCAAATATATTGAATATATGCATTTTTATCAGTGTATAAATACACCGATACAGATTAATTTAGAATGAGACAAGACATATATGCTGTCTTCAGTTTAAGACTGAGGTTCTGTTCCCTTTCATTTAGACAGTTTAATGTTAAAGTTGAACTCTCTGAACAAGGAGGATTTTATGCCTTGCCAAATTTCAGAGACCCTGCCTTCTCTGGCTCAAATGTTCTGTTTGGCTTATTTGATTCTTGGGAATAAGGGTATTTAAAATTTCCCACCATGCAGCTACTTCTCATCCAGCAAAACGGATTGTATTTATTCTCAGCTGTACTTTGTGTGTGTGTACAGAAATAAACAACTGATTGCCTGCTTCAGCGCAGCAGAAAATGGTGATAGTTTAAAAATCAAACAGGAGATGTAACTTCAATTGTCTATTGTTGTCTTATTTTGCTATTCTAATTTATTGATGGAGCTGTAAGGTGGCTCGGTGGTTAGCTGCCTCGCAGCAAGAAGATCGCTGGTTCACGTCCTGGTGAGGACACTTGGGACCCCGAGTTTGCATGATCTCCCCGTGCAGTGTGGGTTCTCTCCAGGTTCTCCGGCTTCCTCCCACACAGTCCAAAAACATGTTGAGGTTAATTGGTGATTCTAAATTGTCTGTAGGTGTGAATGTGAGTGTGCTTGGTTGTCTGTCTCTAAGTGTAGCCCTGTGATAGACTGGTGACCTGTCCAGGTGAACCTGCCTTCACCCTGAGTCAGCTGGGTCCGCCCCCCTAGTGCGGATTAAGCGGTGTATAGATGATGAATGGATGATGTATTGATTCATCTTGTCAGGTGTGTCTGCATTGCATTTTTTATAACAATACACTTCTAACATAATCATTTATTATCATCCATTGTGCTGCATTCTAATTGTATTACAAGTCCAGTGAAAATAAAGTGACTGGTTGAAATGTTCACATGGCTGCCTAATAAACTTGATGGTGAACGTGGTTAAAAATAATAAATTTAAGCATGTTTTATGATGTATGAATCCCACAATGGAGCTCTCTGTTCAACACTGTGACCAAACAGGGCAACAGCAGACCCATGAATGTGTGCAAGAAGTGACAAATTCTACTTTTCAAACATGCATTTATTTGATTTTATTCGTGTTCACTGTTTTGCTGCTGCTGAAGTAGCTTCAATAAAAGGAAAATTACACAAAAATGACTATATACACATTACATATTCCAATACTCTGCTATATACAGAATCTGCTTTCAAAGTCAATCTTTCTTTACAGTCACGCTTTGTACAGGCAATGTTAAATACACAGTCTTTTAAAGCTTTTCTATTACAGCCGATTGTCCACTCACTTCCTACTATCCAAACCCTTTATCTCTATGGAACACTTTAATGTTTTTTTTCAAGCATATTTGGTAGGAAACAGTAGGCAGAAATAAACCCAAACAGAAGCTGAAATAGCACAATCACAAACTGGAAAAAGACAAAAAAACAAGTAGGTCCTTAAGTTACACAGCAAAATGGATGAAATATTTTCTATCATCTGTTACGTATCACAGGATGTGGCTCATTGTTGCAGGCTTTTACTGCAGCACGGTTTTCATGTGAAACATCATCTTCAGGCCTTATTCTTGGAACTCGCACCTCTCTGCTGATGTAGCTGTTTCTCCAGAACGAACTGGACCAGTTTCTTCACCCAGGAGGACCGAGGATTCAGGCACACCTTCTCTCCGTTCGCCAGGCCAGCACTGCTCAAAAAGATTTCCCACAATTAGAGTCGCGGATTTCAGAGGCTCCAAGGTCAGGAGGTCAACAGCAGCCCCCATTCCCTCGTGATATTTTTGACCAGAAATGAAATCTCAGTCACGCTTTACTAGCATTATAATGACAAAAAAGGTCAAACTATTGTTTCCGAGGTCGTGTAATTTGCGTAGCAGTTTTGTTTTTATTGAAAAGACAATGAAAAGCATTAAGATGAGAAATAAAAGTAATATACAGACAAACAGAAAAGCTCTAACACTATAACAACGGTCAAGTCTGCTAAAGATAAAAATTAGCACTAAGATACATTAATACCAAGAGAGGAAATTTGCTATAACGTGCTGCAAAATGCTCAAAAAGTGGCAGATTTGGGCGTTTCAGTTAAGATAATTAGTTGTTATCCAGCCCTGCATTTGGGACTTCCAGAGAACACAGCTACGTACAATAGCAATTAGATTTTTAAGGAGCATGGATTATGTCCTTACGCCCATAAATATCTAGATGTATTGCTATTGAGTGCTTTGATACTCCCAAGAACTCACTGCTGATCAGATACATCTGTGGCAACATTGGAGAGAATTCATGAATAGAAATGAAACATCTGCATCCAATTTGATGCTGACAGATACTTGCAAAAACCTCAATTTTCCTACGAAGGGTTGTGATGTTTTCGGTCCTCAAAAATGTTACACGTGAGCAGAAGGAAGAGTTTAAAGCATTTGATGATAAAAGAAAAAACAAGTGACCAATGGAAGTTTGCCACCGGACCAGAGTTCAGCAGCTTATAAGCACATCTGTATCCCAGATCTGTTCAGCTATGTCTGTATTTGCAATCCTTGTTACACATCATGTTATTCACTGAGTCCAAATACATGCACCCCATGTTTAAAAGTACATGTACAAGTATTCTGCTTTTCTGACAGGCGTATTTTTACTGCCACCGTTGCAAAAACCCTGTGAAACCAGCACCACCGTCTGCTTTGACAAGTGAAGATTCCCTCATTGTTTTCCCCTGCAGATGTTAATATTCTTGCATTCCATTTAGTTCTTTTCCTCCTTTTTTTCTGATGTTGCCATTTTGGGATGGACACTTGTGCCACGTTTGGCCGCAAGATCCTTATTGGGTTAAACATACTACTCTAAAAACATTTAATCATGGAAAGCAATGTGACAGAAAGTAAAGAAAGAAAAGAAAAAAGAAAAAAAATGACTTGCAATCAGCGCAAAAACTGTCAGTTCACTTTCAGGTCAAGCATTGGCCAGTTCCTGCTTCTCAAATGTGAGGACTTTCTGCTTATACAAGTGTTTCTAAATGATTTATGGATCATGCTGACGATTGTTTCAAAATATTAAAGTCCAAGTGGCCTATAAAGATGCCAATAAAAGTTTGTTTTGTGTTTATAAAATGATCTCATCTTTCTATGTGCTGAGCAGTTTTCTGAAAAGTTACCCCTTTGAGGCAATAGATCTTAATTTTTATCTTTTTTTTTTTCAATAAGTATGAGCACCGAACAAAAGTAAAAATCCCTAAAACAACTTTTTAAAGTGATGATTCATCTAGTAAACAAGAAAGCAACTTGCTGAGTAGCTTATAGTGACAGTCGATTGCTTGTTGCAACCTTTCTTAGAATGCAGAAGTGTCTCAGTCAGCAGGATGACTTGGGTGATGAGTTCACTTACATAACTTCTGTTTCGGGGCAGTGGGGCCCTTCAGGGACGAGCTTGATGCTCTTCAGGCTGTCGGGTGGGATGATCCTCGACTCCACCTGCAGGCAGCGACAGTGCGTGTTGTAGTCCCTGCTGATTGGCGGCATACCTGTCATCAACACACAGTCAGTCAGAATACAGAGTTTAAGCAAAAAAAATAAAAATAAATGAAAACTTGTTTTTTGTTTTTTGTTTAAATGAGCAAAGTTTTTGTAAATCCCTTGTGAACAATAACTCAAACACATTGCTTTGGTTGCTGTTCATCCAAAGGGTCAGAACAAGCTGATGTTTTCAGTTTAGTGTTGCGAAATGTTTAACAAAAGAAATCTAGTCACGTCTCTTTTTTTGACATTATCAGCTCAACAGATACTCTCTAGTGGAATCACAAACATCGATAGTGTCTGAGCGTGAAGTGGTTTTGAAGTTGGTTTTGGTTTTGGTTTACGGTTGTTGCCCGAGGCCATCCTCCTCCACATATTTCCGCTGCTTGTTTTTTGGATGACTTACGAGGAACCTGGCATTGCCTTATCATGCTGATGACTAAACACTGCCACACTACACCCAGAGGCTTCAATCAAGTGCTGACAGACCCACTTTCTAACATGTCGTCACAACTACCAGCCTCAGTATTGTAACATTCCTCTTTTGTCTCTTCCGGTCAACTTCCTGTTCCTTCCAACTTAAGTACTGACAGTCACTGTCGAACAAAGTGGATTTCTCCTCTTGCTAATAACTGAAAAGTTAGCTGCATGATGATGAAACATTCACCAATCTGTTGGAATGTGACTCAGACACACCACTTAAATACAAAGTGGAAGGATCACATCTGCGGATTCCAACTTATGCACTTCATTTTTTTTCTTATTGTTATTGACAAGTAGCAATGCAGCACAAACATTTTGTCGTGAAATAATTAGAAACTCCCTGAAATGTGTGAGAATATTTCTTCTAACCGATTCTCACAAAGGAGACAGCCAGTCATAAAATGTAATGCGTCAATTCCTGCTTCAAAATTCCTCTACAGCTGCAAAGTAAATATTATTTTTTCACCCCAACAATTTGACGGCTTAACAGCCTGTCTTGATTCTCCATTTCAATGTAAATGTTGTTTAAAGATAAATGAGTGCATCTCTGAACACAGTCACATCTACCAGTGACTTTAAACTGTTCATCTAACCTGATGAGCTGCACTTAGAGATTCAGAAATATTTACTCACACACCGTTTCCGGGAACAGTTCTTACCATTAATGATGACCAGCAGGGCCCCGAGCACGACCAGGATGCAGAGTTTCATCTTGTTTAGGCTGCTGTTCGTTGAGCTCTTGAGCGCAGATGAGAAGCATAAAGCTGTTGTGACTGCTCACATACATCTCTGCTCCTGTATTTATACGTATAGCTGTCATGTGCTTCTCAGCTGTGGGAATATTTTTTTAAAATTACCCAGGCCAGTCACTGTGTATGTGTAATCTGCATGTTTGGTTTCACTTTGCCACATTCACATGTGCAGCAGAAGGCAGTCATGGGACGGTAGGTTCAGGGACCGACCAGAGGCCGCGTTGAGGTCTAGACGGTGTCGCTGTGGTCGGCGACCACAGAAATGAGTCAGAAGATGAGGGTCTGTCTGGTTGGTAGCTTCATTTCTCTTCTACTTATCACAGAGAAATATTGTCATACAATCATTCTGCTGTTTTTCCCCTTCTGATTCTGGGAAAGGAAAATGATAAAATGATCATCAGATACTGCTCTGTAAACAGTTATGCTTGTGACTACCGGGCATAACATACACTGTAGATAGAGCTGTTGTTGATGTCAGTAGTCTTTTTTTTGCTGGAGGCTTGTTTTGACCCTGCACATACTGTATAATACAGCGAAATAGGCCACATAGTGTTTGTTTCTCAGCTCACTTGGCGCTAGTATGCTCGGCTGTTATTTTGTGCAAATTTTTATTTATCTGAGGTCATTCAAACAGAATGAATCAATATTTTAAGCACTGACTCAGACGCGTGGTCGTGGAAAACTGACAGAGAGTTATGACCAAACTTTGCAGTTTCATGACCTTTCTGGAAAGTTGTAGCATCTTTTAGCTCATCGTATCGGTATGTAGGCCCGCGACTCTACCAGAGTTGTTCACTCTCAACTACACATTTACACAATTCCTTCCCAGCACCAAATGGCAGACTGACACAGTTAGTAAATAGCTTGTGGTCCAAGTGGAGCATTTGGTAGCTAAAAAGCAGCTGGTATTTCTCAGTGGGGCTGGTGGAGACCAAAAACAGAGCAAAAAAAAGTCTTCATATAGCACATTAAAAACAAACAAACAAAAAAACAAAACAGGTGTTATGACAAAGTGCTTTCCCGTAAAAAAAAAAGAAAAGAAAAGAAACATAAAGATTAGGATTATGAATTAACCTAACAAGTTCAGACATTGGTATTAAGACTCTATATTGTAATTTATGGTGTGGGTTTATCTAAGCACATTACATGTTAGGGAATAAAACTCATCAAAAATGATATAAAATACTACTTTTCCTGACAGTAATACAAAATAAGCCTGAAACCCCACCGTACTAATTATGGAGAATAACCTAATTAATGTAATAATGTAGCTAAGACCTTATGCTATCATAAATTAGGGAACAAAATATTGATTTATTGGTATTTGTCAGGCCAGAAGTGTTTACAGGCCAGCTTCATGATGCCATAACATGTGTAATCTGTGGATGAAGCTTAGTTTGTTGTAGAGTTGTGACGTTTTGTGGCGAAACTAAAAGACTGATTCAAATTATTGGTAGTTTGGTGAATGAAGTGGTGTTTGATATATATTTTGATTTAACTTTCACTTAGATTTCAAGTCATACGAGTTTAGTTAAAACACTTTTGTACAAATTCCACACAGTTAATATTCATTCAACTAAAGATCTACTTAAATCTGTAAAAGCCTGAACTATCATAACCTGTTGAAGATTTTGAGATAGAAGGCATGATGATAGATAATCAGACAGATAGAAACCACAATCACCGCAGCAGTGGCAAAAACTGACATCATCTGTCTGATTTGACTTAAGAAATATTACTCTCTTATGATTAAAGGCACATGTCTTTATAGACAGTGGGGACAGAAATGTGGGGCAGAAGTGGGTCATAATGCAGAGCCTTGAGGCCACATGACTGTAAGAAATGAAATGATGCGTTTCAAGATGACTTGGCAAAACTGTCATCTGCTGAAAACAAGCTTGAGGGGACTTCACATAATGAAGACACTAAATTAACTCGCAAATGAAAGTGACGTAAAAAAGTATTTCTCCAGTTTGTTTGGACGATACAAAAATCCCAAATTAAAGAAATATAAAATCAGTACTCAGATAGTTCTGGTAGTGCTCTTCTAATATGCTGGTGTTGTTAAAATGCGACATACAGGCCACAGTAAAGCACAGTAGAGGAGAGACGTGAGGTTTGTATGGAAACCAGCTGGAGAAGTTTTAACAGTGTTAGTGCAATAATTTGAAAAAGAGGACATCAGAGATTATAGTGTTGTCATTCTACTTCTTCTTTTAAGCTCAAGAAAGAGTGACGAGGCAGTAAGCAGAAAAGAGTGAGAATCCTGTTGACCTGTTTGAGGGCCGCTGTGTTTAGCTGTTGTGTTGTATTTACTTATCAGCCACGTGCAGCATGGCCTACGCTCTGGCCAGAATCCACTCCAAGCTTTCGCAAACAGAACTTTTGGATTCACGTTTTGATTACAAGCTACTGCCCTCGTATTTATTTTTGGACCGCAAACCTGTTTGATTGCACAATACAGGCGCAAAAATAACTCCCAGGAGTTGACCGTGTTTTCCATCTAGTGTCCTGTAAAGCAGAGATGCTGACAGTTTCCATGGTTCAGGATTCATGTTTTTTACCATTATCCATAGAAAATGAATCAAATTTGAAACCTCACACGCTGCAAAAATACTGTTTCCATCAATTATTTGGAGCTCTGACAACTTCTCATGAAGTTATGTTCCACTAGGAAACCACACTGAGTCAGGGGAATTAGCTTTTCCTCTACAGCCAAAGCCTTTTTTTTCTTATTACGAGTCTCTATTAGTGAAATTGTCTTGGTAGGTTCAAATTGGGACTTAAAATCTTGAACTCAAGGTGAAGAAACATTAAGTTATCAGGTCAATTTCATTAAGCTACCTCAATTGGAATTTAGTTTTAAATCAACTCATATAGATATTTGAATTTAAGTTGCACACAATATGTCATGTGGGGGGATCTGGGAACCCAGGACGCAGACACAGGTACAGGCAGACAGACAGGTGAATATAACAAAGGGATTGATGAAAAGATAGATAAACAGAAACCAATACAGAGGGAGGTAACTAAACATAGAGGGGGGAAAACCAGAACAAATTTCCAAGGGGGCAAAACTACCCAAAACCTAGAAAACTCTGATCAAAGAACAGAGGGGGAATAAACCTAATGAATTCTAAGATAAAAAAAAAAAACAAAGCTACTCAAACAAGCGGGGATACGCACAGAAAGGGGACGAAACAGAGGGTCCAGACAGGCTCGGGGAATCCAGGCTGGAACTGGTGGCAGGAGAAAGCTGGCTGGGACAATGTAGGCTGGAGACAGAGCGGGGACTGGCACAAACATGCGGGAGAGGAATGTCTATGGACTGGCAGGGTGTGGTGAATGAACAGAGTCTTTATGGGAGCTGTGGTGATTGTGGGCAGGTGAGTCCGGAGTTGCAGCTGTGGGTGATTGTCCTTGACTGGGTGCTGAGATGCACAGAGGAAGAGAGGGACCAGGCAGGGGCCGAAACAAGGATCCTGACACAATATTAAGCTCATACAATTATCAGCATTATTATGACAAATCAAAAACAATGTCTGCAGCTTAAAAGGCTTATCAAAATCAGTAAATTTGATTTTCTTTCGTCCTGCAAGCAGGCATTTAATTAGGTGGTGGGAATAGGCCCTTCGAATTGCGTAGTTCAGAATACAGTTTGAATGTGGAGTTTCCATTCGTAGTGCTGCTCCGTCTGCATGCTGACTGAAAATGACTGCTCTGAGGATAGAAAGGGGCCAAGAAAACAGGAAGAAATAAAACATCTTGCATTCACAGTCAGCCTCTCAGCCCAACCATCACTTCAGCCTTGGCTGAAATAGCTCAACAGCCACTGGATAGATTAACTTAAAATCCCTGCAGGTAAAAGTCAAACAATCCTGCTGACATGTGAATGTTTTTAACAACTGCTTCTGTCTGTTTGCTTTAACCATGACTGTGTATAGAATTGTGTTGATCCAAAAAGTCACGTTTTGAGAATAGAACAGTCTTGAAAATAGAAAATACTTACAACAATACAGCTACCTAAAGGATGAATTTGCCGTTTCACTGGCTGTTTTGAACTGAAAAATAACTATTCTTTCTAATAAATGACAAAGAATTCAATCATTTAACAAGTCCCAGTTTTATTGTAGTTCTGTGTCCCTGAAGCATAATGTGTCAGTTGTGTACATTATGCGTTCAACCTTATAAAAGCAAACTTGTCACAAACACACACAGATATACAGAATGTACACATGCATTCACATGTATTTAAAACAATATTTTTAAAAAAAATCTTCAAACTACTTAAATAAATTGTGCACAAACCTATTAACACTGCTCATATTCACAGTAATTTATTGCAATAGATATTACTGATCTTCACGTCATGTCAGCTTTATCTAAATCACAATCAATGCCTATATATTATTATTAATATGCTATGTGTGCAGTTTGGGAAAACAAACAAACTGTCCTTTTTAACCAGGGGTTAACCAGTGTCCCTGGATAAACACTCTTCACCATATGTCTCCTAAATCCTCAGAAGCTCCCTTCTGGCTGACAAAGAATTCCATATTTTACACTTTCACATCTCGCTGTCAGTTCAAGCTGCCAGTTTCCAAAGTAGTTACTGATAGTTTCATATATTTTTAGTGTTGTGCCACCAGTGCGATAGTATATTGACACAAACTACATCAACCGTACTGCCAGGCTGCAAAGCTGTGCTTCCAACTGACATCCCACCTCTATTACACCAGTTAAACACACAGGCGATGTGCATTACGATGACGTCGGCAGCGCTGTGGCTGATTCTGTGGCTGATTCTGTGAGTGATGCTGTGGCTGATTCCATGAGCTCCGTGGCTGATTCTGTGCCTGACACTGTGGCTGATGCTGGGGTTGTCTTTTTTGCTGCTGGGCTGATGACGTTCACCTTATTAGCACGTGCCATATTCTGCCTGTGAAGCAAACACATGATGGTCAGCCATTTTTAAACCTCTGCTATGTGACATCAAAATGCCTGAGATGGAAAAAAACAAACAAACATTTGCAATACTTTCAAAACATACAGCAGTTATTCCCAAACCTTCTGGACGCTTGGTCACTTTGCTTTACTTTACTTTTAGAGCAAAATACGTAAAATTCTCTTGCAAGTCACCAGAAAGACAGTAAATATTTGATGCAGCAGAAATACGTCTTCTTTAAATTGCTTTTCGTCTTCTTACCACCAGTCAGCTGGAAACCTCTAACAAACAGGTTTTTGCAAGAAAAAGTGTAGTAGCAAAGAGAGATTCAATGTCTGTGTAACTGCGCATTAGAAACCTATCAGAGAACTACGCAATGACATGTTGCTGTCTTTGCTCTTTTTTTCTATGCACTCTCACTGATAAAAGCCTCGTGTGCAGAGTGTTGCACCTACGCCCCAGCGTGACCGTTGACCTTCCCATGACCTTTTTTTTCTTCTTCTAAATTAGGTCATGGGGACATGTTAAACAAAAGTGAAAGAAAACACTTCTTTTAACTTTACTTACTGTCTTACTTGCAGGAGTTTTTTGGTGAATGCTGAGCCAGGGTCAAGACACTTGGTAGTGCCATTTTTCAGTGTGACTCTGTAGGAGAAACAGAAAACTTTAGCCTTAGACAGTTGTCTAATCAACGCCTAATTATGATAATAGTAATTGTTGTTTTTTTTGCTCATGTCACTGTAGGTACTCACATGACTTCTTGCTTGTTGCAGTAAGCACGAGGCTCATATGGAGTGACTTGAGCGATGAGGGAAGAGTTCACAGCTTGGATTGGTTTATTGCACAGGCATCGCGTCACAGCTGGAAGAAGGAGACAATATAAATAGTCTGCTCTGCAGTATATACAGTCTCATCTTTCATGTTTCTCAGACATGCAATCAAGCTGCATAAATGCACAAGAGCTTTGCATAATACAATAACTGTGCACACTTACGAACTGAAGAGCAAATCGCTATGCAGGCCAAGAGAATAATGCACTGGATTGTCGCAGTCCCCATCATCTTCAGTGGTCGGTAATGAACGAGTGAAGCTCGAAAAGTATCTACTGAATCCTGACTCTCTCTCTGCTGTGTGTTTGCTTCACTCCTCGGATCTCCTCAGCGTGCCAGACTGTGAGCACAACGTTTCTGCTCCTCATTTTTATACAGTCTCGTTGGGTGGAAACTGGCTAGGAGTGACTTCCTAAGAAGTGGCTGAAAGAAATATTTTTTTTCAAGCCAGCTTTGTAATCTATCCATTTTTCCTCAGAATCCACTTTACTCAAGTTTCACTTCCGTTTGAACATGCGTGGTGCTGCCTGTCATGTTGGGACACATCTGCTCTCAGAGACATTAGCTGATGCTCCAGTCAGATGAGTCAGATTTCTTATCTGGTGCAAACATTAACTCCTACAAACTGAAGCATTGTTACTGGAATTGGGTTCCGAGCGCACTGACTGCATCTGTGGTGATTTGAAATACAGGAAGGCTTTTCTTTAAGATTCCTTTTTTGGCATTTTTGCTTCTATTGGACAGTAAACAGTGGACAGAAGCTTGAAAAGACATGACGTGTCCTCTGCAGAACTTAAAATGATCATACCTGGGACATTGCCATTTTGAAGCTACATCACCTTCTTAAGAGTGATCAGATATTTTCCTGGGGTACTTTTAATGCCACTTTCTATTTACTGGTTATAGAGCTGCTTATTTTATTGCACTGTGACCCTTCATTCATTCAAAAGTCCATCTTAGAACAGGCTGAAGCCTTAATGTGGAATAAATCTACTCTACTTTTGCACATCTGTACTTAACCTTCTTGCTCCAACCACATTTCATGATCTTAATTAGCTTAATTAGCTGATGAACTTTGCTCTGTTGTCTGTTGCCTCAGCTGTCATCACAAGACCTAAGAATGAAGCTAAGGCTCTCTTTTAATTCGGTTAAATCATATTAAATGTAATATATGCAGCGCCAGTGTCAGAGCAAGAATCATCTCAGGGCACAGGTCTGGACTTGACAATGTGTGTGGGAAACACCTCCAGGTTATGTTCGCACTATGAGTGAGAAAGTTGCAACACTGTTAACGTCATAGTTTAAAAATAAAAGGGCAGATAGTACTCAGTAATACCTGATGCTAAGAAAAAACCTTCTTTTAGTCCATTTTTTTTTGTCATTCCTTTTTAATATTAGTCAGAACTTAAGTTGAAATGACCTTTGCTCAATGGGTATTTTTAGAAAAGAAATTTATTTAGTTCCTTCTGGTCTATTTATTTCTAAGACTTCCATTCAAGTCAACATCCATCCATCCATTATCTATACACCGCTTAATCCTCATTAGGGTCGCGGGGGGGCTGGAGCCTATCCCAGCCGACTTAGGGCGAAGGCAGGGGACACCCTGGACAGGTCACCAGTCTATCACAGGGCTACACTTAGAGACAGACAACCAAGCACACTCACATTCACACACACGGACAATTTAGAATCACCAATTAACCTCAACATGTTTTTGGACCTTGTTGAGGAAGCCGGAGAACCCAGAGAGAACCCACGCTGCACGGGGAGAACATGCAAACTCCACGCAGAAAGATTCCGGTGCCCCCACCGGGACGCGAACCGGCAACCTTCTTGCTGCGAGGCAACAGTGCTACCAACTGCACCACCCTGCAGCCCGCTCAAGTCAACATTCTAGTCAAATTTCAATCAAGTTTGTCTAAATAGCAGCTTTTTTCAAATAAAAAAACCATGAAAGGATTCAAACTTCTGACAGAGAGCACCAGGAAGGAGTTTAAAAACCTGATTTTTGTGCTTTGGCAGTGGGCAGATCACACCTAAAACACATAATGCTCAACTAGCTGGTACAATAGAGCTGATATTAACAAAATGTGTTGGTTTATCATTGACTTTTCTTAACAAAAGTATCAGTGTTGACATTGATTTTGGTAATTCTTGCCCCTTCAAGATTGACAATCCCAATTTGTGTTGTAACCGTGCGGCTCTTTTAGCACCTACGCACTGCTGACGTAAGACTTACTGGTTCACCCTCACTGCATGCATTCATCAAGCACAGCGTTACAAACAGAGTGATAGCATCTGGTCACAGCGTTTCACAACATGAGAAGATTTCCCAATAACCCCTGTAGCGTGCAGTGATAACATCGGGAGTAAAGGAGGAGTTGTTGTGGAGCAGTGTGAGAGTGTATGCACAGGTGTGTTTGCAGAGACGTCAGCCAGGAGACAAGTGATTCTTCAGTAATTACCTTTCCGTATGAAGGCAAATACTGCCTACTAACAGCTGAACTGTTGATATTATATTATTTGAATTTTTAAACCAGACAAAAATATATACCAAGAAAATAAAGGATTAACACTGTGGTCAATACACAGCAAAAGTGTCCTGGCAGACCAGAGAGGGGAAAAATCTGTGTGTTAGTGTTTGCAGCTAATTCAGGGTGCTGCTTTCTGTGTTTAGCTTGAAGTGAAGTTTACTTGGAAACCGTAGGAGAGTGGCACTACTCCCTGTGTGATATGGATGTAGTTAGAATGACCCGTGTTTAGTTGGGCCGTTTTGATTGAACACAACTTGGCATAAAGGGCAGATTCACAGAATTTGCAATCTGCAAGATAAGGCCACATAATTAGCCAGAAATGCAGGATCTATCTTAGTGGACATGTTTATTATTCACCCGATTGCCAAAAGTGGATAAATATGTGTCTTTTGGATGACCTCGGTGAGTAAAGTCCGTTAATCTTAACGTGACTTAATTTTCAAAGCACAAGTACAAGTTGTCTTTGAGACGAGAAGCCAGAATCTGCTTAATACATTTAGTTGATCAATAAGTTTTATAAACAATGGCAGATTTGCATTCTTTTTTTATTTTCTAAGTTTAAAGAAGGGCTGCTCTGTGCTTAGTAACCGTCGCCTCGCAGCAAGAAGGACACCCGGGATCTTTCTGCGTGGAGTCTCCATGTTCTCCCCGTGCAGCGTGGGTTCTCTCCAGGTTCTCCGGCTTCCTCCCACACAGTCCAAAAACATGTTGAGGTTAATTGGTGATTCTAAATTGTCCGTAGGTGTGAATGTGAGTGTGCTTGGTTGTCTGTCTCTAAGTGTAGCCCTGTGATAGACTGGTGACCTGTCCAGGGTGTCTCCTGTCTTCACCCTGAGTCAGCTGGGATAGACTCCAGCCCCCCCATGACCCTAGTGAGGATTAAGTGGTGTATAGATGATGGATGGATGGATGGACGTTTAAAGAATTTTGTCATACAGCCTCACATGTTAAAGCTACTTTTAGCAGTTTTTAGATGATCTGTGAGTCTGTATCGTTTTTCTTTCAGTGACAGTGGGATGCATTTAAACTCTGTGGGTGGACTAAATTCATTCCAAACTTGTCCCATATTTGGAATGGTTCTGATTTTGTATTTAAAAAAAAAAAAAAAAAAGACCCAACAATAACTTAATTTAACACACACACACTAAGATTCCAAAATGTCTCTTCTCATAAACTACAAAAGACAAGAGATTCTGAGGAGTTTCAGCTCTAACAATGCATCATGGGAAGTCCTCTTATGTGCCGGCTTTGTTTTATAAACTAAATGTCATGAGCTGGGTGGCCTCACACTTGTTCATTCAGTCAACTCATCATTTTAACTCAAAATGACTCAAGCTATAAGAACTCGTGTCCTTGATGGTGTGACAATAAAAAATAAAAAAAAAGTCACATTTTTGGTTCAATTAATCACACATTTCCAAAACGTAAACTAGAAGAATGATTTCATGGAATTCCTTTATAACGTTTAACAGTGTAGGAAGCACCTGTTTCCTGAAAGGAGAGCAAAAAGGCAATGTGTTAGACTAGTTCCTTTTACCATCAGTGTGCCACACAGGATTCTGGTGAAACCGATTTAAAACAGCTAAACAAATAATCCCTACTTAGGTCAGTTTCTTTGGAAAAATGAGCTTGTCCACGTGTCCCTGCAGTGTTTGTACAGATAACAGGAGGAATGTGGAGAAAAGAGGCAGTGGGAAGAATTGTATTTGTTAACTGTTTTGCTTTTAAGTCCTAGACTCTGAGGAAAACGTGGGTCTTGATAATCAAAAAAATTTACGTTTAGCAGAGCTTGGTATGAGCTTGTATCGTCATTTGTTGAACATCATGCTCATAAATACCACCTGCAGCATGCTTTAGTCTCTTCTTGTTTAAACACAGCTTACACTCTCAGCTGAACGTGTGCTGCAAGAGAAAAAAAAAAAGGGAAATGTACACAATCCTCAGCGCCTTTGATTACAAGCCATCCCATGACTATCGTGTTTCTCAACTTCCTCCCTTTCCTGCTTATTGTAAATGATTCTAGCATGTGCTCGCTGGGAGCTACGGAATTTCCTAAATACTCCTGTAGACGTTTAAAAAAAGACCCCAAGCACTCCAAGGTCCAAGTGTGCCACATGTTGTACACCTCACGTGCCTTAAGTGCCCCTTTGGACAGCCGCCGAAGTAACCCTTGTGGTAAAGTTCCCCCCAGTGATACCTCTGTGGTGAAAAAGTTTGCAGAATGTTTTCTTGTTATTGTACAGATTTTGCCAGCGTTGTTTTTGAAATATACAAAAAAGTCCATAAAAATTGCAACAACAACTGAGAAATGTACACGTCTAGTAAGAAAAAACCTATAACAACCCATAACTATGACTAAGCATTTCTATACTCTTAGTAAAATAGGGTTTTGCAACATAAAATACAGTTTGCAAGTGTGTCATAATTTCTTTTCTGTTAGCTTTGAGTTTAATACTGTAAATATATTTGTAAAATTGGACACATATTTAAAAGGTTTGTCATTTTCTAGAGATTTGTGTATTAAATGAGAGACATCTTGTATAATTACAGATGTTTTCACACAAAAAGAATAAAAATGTTGGATGGATGTGTGTTCATTAGTGCATAAACACTGACAATCAGTTTTTATTATTATGTATAGAATTTATCAGATTATCATTACTTTTTTCATTGATTTTACACACATGTATATATTATTCATCAAAAAATAAAAAGCAAGACAAACCAACAAAAACATGAGCTCATGTAAAATTGTGGCTAGAAAATGTGTTCTACATTTACTGGGGTTTTTTTGTTTGCTTTTTTTTACAATGTGGTTTTTGGATTTATTTATTTTTTCGTACAGGGCATTTAACCTAAAACTGTTCCCTAGTGTCCATCTAGTAGACCCATGACACATCTAAATCAGTATTTGGTCCGTTTAATTTCTCTCTGCTGAAGTATCCCTCAAGAGCCCCTCTTATCAATCCATTTGGCTCCTAAGTGTCTTTGTGGTCAAACCAAGTGCCTCTTTTGTTTTGAGTGTCCCTCTGCTAATGCTGAGTCCCGAATTGAAGTGTGATTGGTCCGACTACACTTCTGGGGTGTCCGACTGACCCCAGGCCCACTGTGGCCGGGCCAATGGCCTCTTTGAACATCCCAAATGCCCCTTGGCTTTGGTGTCCCCAAATGCAAATTTGCCTCTAAAAACTCCCCAAGCACCCTGGGTAAACTCAAATGCCTCAGAGTGTTCTTCAAGTGCCCCCTAAGATCCACTGAGATCAGAGCAGTATTTCTGTGTTTCCACTTTCTTTCTGAATGAAATCTGCATGGAGGCGACTACAAGAGGAAAAACAAAGGCAGTGATGACCTGAAGGCCAGAACCGTGAACATGTAACAACACTTAAATAACACTTAAATACCTGTTAACTACATTATTTTGCCCAAAATTCCTCCGAGGTGTAAAAGAAAAAATCCCACATTGCCTGGGATCATGGTTCATGCAAATCACCAAATTGAGGCTGTTAACTACAAATTTTACAGAGCTGTTAACAAGAGCTTGTAAAGTTTTTGGCATTGGCAGGTAGAAGCTGCTGCTTTTCTGTTTTCAGTGCATCAGTGGAGCTTTTAGTCTGAGTAGGACATCTAATGGTTTGGTGTGGTAATATCTAGTTTTATTTTAGTTTTTTTTGTGTGGTGCAATATCACCACTCAGTGGCCTGGAAATCTAGGGAGCCACCATGATCTGCATAGTCACTCTGTTGTCATAATTCTGTATTCGTCTCTACCCTCATGATGTTTCTACTGTTTGCTATCAAAAAGAAACATTAAATCCCCCCAAAAAATAGACATTTGGTGTGACTCCCAGTATTGGTGGAATAATGATTCTTATGCTACCACTACAATGTGTATATGAATCATCTCACGTATGTTACATCATGTTTAATGACATGTGTAATGAAACTGACAAATGATATGCTCCATTTATAGCTATCATTTTTTAAAATGTTTTGAAGACGCCCAGTGTAAATATGGGGAAGTGAATGAAAAAGAAATAGTTGATAATGAAACTATGTCCGAGCCACCTTTCACTTTGACGCAGGTTGATGCACTGATGCACTGCTGCGCTGCGAGAGAGTATTTACGGATTTGTAAGTAACAATGGATGAATATCAATACCCGTTGTTCTTTAAGGCGAAGGAGCTTAGAGGCAATGAGAAGGAGAAGATCAGGAGGTACTTTCAGAAAAGAAGAGACTCTGGGGGAGGTGATTGTGGATTTATCGAAAAGGTCAGAGATAAAACCTACCGAATCTGCTTCAAGGAAAAGAAAGGTAAGAATATTATTGAGTTCTAAAGCACTGTAACTTCATTATACTTTAGTTACCTGTGAGTCTGTTACTACTGGATTAAGTTTTTATCAACATGCTTTTAGACCTGGAAAGAGTTTTGGAAAGAAAAGTGCACATCATCGATCTGTCTTGGGAAGAGCTCCACCTGACTGTGAGCCGGACCGATTCTCCTCACAGCCCCGGACACACAGATCAGCCATCCAGCAGCCACTCACAGGTGGGTTGATACTCAGTCTTCATTGTCACAATGCACCCAGAAATATATTTTAAAGGAGTTCATTGAAAAATCAACCTAGTTTTTCTTTTAAAACCCAGAATTATCAAAGTGGCATCACTTCACTTGAACATTTGATGAAGGCAGCAACATACTAAATGACTTAAATGACTTTCAAGCAAATACAGCATGAAAAATCAATATGTTTTATGAGTTATGCAAACATAAAAATTACAAATATGTTTTTCTTCCTGTAGCCAGTGCACTTATGGCACCCAGAGAAGTCTAATTTTTGCATGCACCATTTATAGCATTACATGTAATTCTGCAACTGTGTGTGTCTAGAATAGAAGAATAGAACAGAATAGAACTTTATTGATCCCTTTGGTGTCTACACACTTCTTTGGGATTTCGGGAGGTGGTGCTGTGTGAAAAGACTGAGCTCAAATCTTACAAAACCAATCACAGAAATGTAGCAAAATAAAACTGATAATTTCAAATCATGTGATAAGTTAGAACTCAGCAGTGTGACTCTGGCCTTTAGGAATCTTGTGGTATTTGATGCCAGCATTTATATAACAGCAGCACAGAAAGCTTGAGCCAACCAGAAAAACCAGTTCAGCAGAAGTCACAAGTAGCGTCAACATTTCAGCTTTGAAATGTTGTGTTACTGTTTTACCACCGAGGTTACAGTTTCGTTAACTAGCTCAGGTATATAAAGTCTTACAGAACATACTGATTGAGTTTGCATTGCTATAAGCTTCTATAAATGTTCTGCTATTTTTCTATCATAAATTTTCGACAGCAAAAGCAAAAGGTTTAAAGAAGTGTTGTCACTTGAACACTTTCCTCCTGTATTACCTAAAAGACAAAACAAAGCATCTACGATTGCAAAAACAACTTTCTTCAACTGGTTGAATTACTGCAGCACAAACTCATTCATTTATTTGATGTTTTTACTCTTTAGACGTGTGCAAAAGGGAACACTAAAGGTCTTGAGAAGATTTTCAAGATAGACATTTTTCTCCTGTATTACCTGAGAGACAACCCCAAAGCATCCAAAGTATTAAAAAAGCAACTCTCCTCAATCGGCTGCACAGTGGAGTTCAACATAGATGAAGAGGAGGCAGTGGTGAGGGGGGATATTGAGAAGGGGCCTGGAGGGGCGTCTGGTGGTGCTGCAGAGAAATGGGAGCTACAAGTTGATCGGGTCTTTATCAATCTCACTGACAGCTACCTCTGCCATCATGTGTTTGATCGAAAACAAATCAAAATGCTGCTGCAGGACTCTTCCTTTGCAAATGATGAC